GCTGAGACTGACAAAGAGGCAGATCAGGGACAGAGCCAGCATGATTCAAACACAGCCCTGGCCAATCAGCATCTCCTCATAGAGATGAATTGAATCAATGAATCTCTATGAGGAAAGTTCAGTGTCTGCATGCAGAGGGAGGAGACACTGAATGTTTGGATGCATTTTAGAGATTCACCCAGCTGAGGAACCCGAAGGAAAATCGTCGAAACGCGTCCTGGGGACTTGACAGATCACCTTTATGCCCAGTATTTAAGTATTGTATTTATTTTAGAGTTCTTATATGTTAAATGGCCAGTAGAATTTTATATATTATTTAATAAAGTTCCTTTTTAATATACTATTTGGGCTATCGGTTTCCTGCATATGGGAGTGTAGTCCCAAACTACACAACGTGGTGCAAGAGAGCCGATACGTGGCTCCACCTTTGTGAGTATATTTATCACCATTACGTTTAAAATTGACTCCAGTTCCTGAATATACTGCACCATATATTTCTCTTTGTTTAAGCTTCAGTGAGCACTGGAAAAGACCATTAGAACTTGAATTAAAGAAGGGAGGTCGCCTTTACGGACCTACAAGCTTTCTATCCCTGAGCTTGGCAAATAGCTCAGAAGAATGTGAGCTATTCCATATGCATTATAAATAAGGACTTTTATGCATTACAATATTACGCTATTGGAGTTTATTTTATATTCTAGGACTACCATCTACAACTAATAGTGGTCCTGGTGGGAATACCCTTTGGGTCTGTAATAATTCTTTATTTTATATATAGCGCTACATTTCTTTGTGTTTTTGAGGCTGTAATGTAATCACTGCATTTTCTCTGAAAAGACAGTGTTTACAGCAAAAAGCCTGAAAGTAATGATTCTACTCACCAGAACAAATTCAATAAGCTGTAGTTGTTCTGGTGACTATAGTGTCCCTTTAACAATTTGTTGTGGGGCGTTAATTGTACACCCATTGAAATAGCGATTGGGTCCAGTTATGGATCCAATCAACAGGAACAACATCGCTGTATTAGACAGAGAAAAAATAATGGGCTTTATTTTGAATTCTATTTTTTGTTTAGCTGGAAATATAACAGTAGGCAGCATAATGTAACTGGGAAATCAAAGAGGAACTCTTACCATTCAGCTTTCCCTATACCCAAAAGGTACAAATGATGCACTTCCTTGTCTGTGATGTCTATCAGCAGTAACTATAAAACATACTTCCAGTACAAAATTTTCAGCTTGTGTAATAGGTATTATCATATATTTCTTTATATTCAACAAACACATATCTGTTATATTACCTCCAAATCTGATATTTCCAAATATCAGTCTGCTCATCACTTTTCCCACTGCATAAATCCACTCCTACGTTAGCAAGCTAGACAACAGCAATTATTTTCTTCTAGGTCAATACTTTATAACCACAGCAAATTGATATAATTACTTATCACACCCTCTTTAATGTGTTTTTTTTTCATTACATGCTGTCTCCTTGTTGCTAGAAGACCACTGGTTTGATATCTGCCAGGGCTTTAATTTCCGAGCCTTTTTCTTCCATGTACAAATACCTTAACAAACTCACACCTCACTGATAATTTATCACCAATCATGCCCACCAAAACTGTTCCTTCCATAACACTACACTCAACATTTTCTCTATTTGTACTTTCCAAGTTCTAAGCAGACACTTCCCTGACTCCCAAAATTCAACTATTTTAAAACTTGTTTCCTTGACACAACATTATGCAATTGTCGTGGGGGCAATGCCTAACCATCATGTAGATCAGTTGCACTTTCTGAGAGCTCCTCAACTACTCCTGGCAATTAATGCGCATACTGACTCCCAATATCCACAACTGGCCCAACTCAAGGACCTCTTGCCTCTTGCACTGCTGGGAGTGCTCTCTGTAGAGTGCACTGTGAATCTGTGGAGATTGAGTCCGGACAGCTCCAGTGAGGCCTACCACGCCGTTGGGCGGGAGAGACGGCCGCTCCCTCGTTCCGCAGCATTGGTCCCTCATCGACGAACTGCACAGACCTAAACCTACCCCCCTTTTGGATCAGTGGGGGTTATCCCAGTCCTCATCAGCCTGCTCCTTGACCTCTACTAAAGCCTGAAAGCCGCAACTGCATCAGTGTCAGAAGCTTGTGTCCCAAGATGGCGGTAATACCAGCCTCGGAACATAAGCCATTACAGCCTACGAAAAGGACATGGAGGCGGTTAGAGGAGCTACTTGACCGCTTCTGGAACTCTGTCTCGAGATCTGGTGGGTGGTCCGAGATGTGGGAACAAGAGAGTGAGTGGGACATCTTCGGGCGCAACATCAGCAAAGAAGAATGTTCTTCTCAACTTTTGCCTGTCTAGGCCGAAGGCCAATAGCGGCACAATCCCCGAGCATCATCCACAAGCAGAAGACCGATCGCTGCGGGCGGCGAAGGATCACCAAGGTCTTTAGCTTTTCCCCAATAGGCAAAGACTTGGACTCCAGGAGCCCCCGAGTCAGTGGCTCAGTGATGCCGACCTTCGTTCAGGTCTGGAGCCTGGCTCGCCACTGGCTTCCTACTACTATCCGCAAGCACCCTGCACCACTGCTACAATTCCCCATTCTTGGTATCGGATGAACAATCTAAGTGGGGAAGCCTTTCTACCTCCATGCGGACTTTCCACCTCTGATATCGGAAGCTTTCCTGCCGCAACCAGCTGTCTCAGATCTCCTAAGCCCTGCTGATGCCCATGGATGTTGTTTTTTTGTGTGTATATTGTTGATTTTTCTTTTTCCCCTTTCAATTTGGCAATACAGTATGCTTCTAAGAGGTGTAGGCTAAGGTGGCTATTATTCAAGCAGTATCACAGCTACTCTATCCTTCCAGGGGCGGACTGACCACTCGGGCATATCGGTCATGGACCGAGGGCCCGAGACAGCCAGGGGCCCGGCCGCACGGCACAGCCATGCTCCAGCTGGAGAGATCAGAGATCTCTCCAGCTGGAACGAAAAAATAAATAAAACTATTTAAATGATAGGTTGTGGGGCCCCTGATGCAGCGCGGGGCCCCACAGCCTACCGCTCTCTAAATCCACCCTCCTCCCATGAGACCTGGCAGCTTCACCAGCTCTTTGCCAGGTCTCCTTCTCCCTGTCCCGCGGTGCTCTGTGTGATGGGAGAGGCGGGGACAACATCACTTCCTGTTTACTCCTCTCACACAGAGCCCAGCGAGGGGAAGGAGCAGCAGCCGGGGAGACCACAAGGAGCAGAGAGACAGGTAGGCTCTAGTCACCCCCTCACTGTCACTAGTCACCCCCCCTGTCACTAGTCACCCCCCCACTGTCACTAGTCACCCCCCCTCACTGTCACTCACTGTCACCCCCCCTGCTAGTCACTGTCACTCACCCCCCCACTGTCACTATCACCCCCCCACTGTCACTAATCACCCCCCACTGTCACTAGTCACCTCCCCTCACTGTCACTAGTCACCCCCACTGTCACTAATCACCCCCCACTGTCACTAGTCACCCCCCCACTGTCACTAATCACCCCCCACTGTCACTAGTCACCCCCCCCACTGTCACTAGTCACCTCCCCCCACTGTCACTAGTCACCCCCCCGTGTCACTAGTCACCCCTACTGTCACTAATGCCCCCCCACTGTCACTAGTCACCTCACCTCACTGTCTAGTCACCCCCTGTCACTAGTCACCTCCCTCACTGTGCTAGTCCCTTTACTGTCACTGTCCCCCTGTCATAGTCACCTCCCCTCCTGTCACTAGTCACCCCCACTGTCACTAGTCACCTCCCTCACTGTCACTAGTCACCTCCCCACTGTCACTAGTCAGCAGCTCCCCCACTGTCACTTTGAGTCACCCCCACTGTCACTAGTCACTTGCCCCTCACTTATTCATAGTCACCCCCGTGTCACTAGTCACCCCTCCTCACTCTGTTGCTAGAGTGAGGGAGGGGATGACCAGTGACAGAGTGAGGGAGGGGGTGACTAGTGACAGAGTGAGGGACGGGGTGACTAGTTACAGAGTAAGGGAGGGGATGACTAGTGACAGAGGGAGGAATGGGGTGACACAGTGACAGAGGGAGGAGGTGACTACTGACAGAGTGAAGGGATGACTAGTGACAGAGTTAGGGAGGGAGTGACTAGTGACAGAGGGAGGGATGGGGTGACGTGACAGTCACCACCTCCCTCGCTCTGTCACTAGTCACCATCTCCCTCATTCTGTCTCTAGTCACACCCTCCCTCACTAGTCACCCCCCGTCACTAGTCACCCCTCCCTCACCCTGTCACTAGTCACCCATTCCCTCCCTCACTCTGTCACTAGTCACCCTCTCCCTCACTCTGTCACTAGTCACACCCTCCCTCACTCTGTCACTAGAGTGAGGGAATGACTGGTGACAGAGTGAGGGAAGGGGTGACTAGTGGCAGAGTGAGGGAAGGAAGGGATGACTGGTGACAGAGTGAGTGGATGACTGGTGACATAGTGAGTTAGGGGGTGACTAGTGACAGAGTAAGAGACGGAGGGGGTGACTAGTGACAGAAAGAGGGAGGGAGTAGTGATAGAGTGAGGGAGGTGGTGACTAGTGACAGAGTGAGGGAGGTGGTGACTACTGACAGTCACCACCTCCCTCACTCTGTCATTAGTCACCCCTTCCTTTCCTCACTCTGCCACTAGTCACCCCTTCCCTCACTCTGTCACTAGTCACCCCCTCACTCTAGTGACAGAGTGAGGGAGGGGGTGACTAGTGACAGAGTAAGGGAGGGAAGTGGTGACTAGTGACAGAGTGAGGAAGGGGGTGACTAGTGACAGAGGGAGGGGTGACTAGGGACAGAGTGAGGGAGGTGGTGACTAGTGACAGTCACCACCTCCCTCTCTGTCACCAGTCATCCCCTCACTCTGTCACTAGTCACCCCTTCCTTCCCTCACTCTGCCACTAGTCACCCCTTCCCTCACTCTGTCACCGCCTCACTCTGTCACTAGTCACCCCCTCACTCTAGTGACAGAGTGAGGGAGGGTGTGACTAGTGACAGAGAGAGGGAGGGGGTGACTAGTGACAGAGTGAGAGAGGGAAGGGATGACTAGTGACAGAGTGAGGGAGGTGGTGATTAGTGACAGAGGGAGGGATGGGGTGACTAGTGACAGTCACCACCTCCTTCACTCTGTCACTGTGTCACCCCCTCCCTCACTCTGTCACTAGTCACCCCTTCCTTCCCTCACTCTGCCACTAGTCACCCCTTCCCTCACTCTGTCACCTGTCACCCCTTCACTCTAGTGACAGAGTGAGGGAGGGTGTGACTAGTGACACAGAGAGGGTGGGGGCGACTAGTGACAGAGGGAGGAGTGACTAGGGACAAAGTGAGGGAGGTGGTGACTAGTGACAGTCACCACCTCCCTCACTTTGTCACTAGTCACCTTCCTTTCCTCCATACTGCCACTGGTCACCCCTTCCCTCACTCTGTCATAGTCACTTACTCACTCTGGTGACAGGTGAGAGGAAGAAGTGACTAATGTTTTAAATGAGGAGGAAGTGGTGACTAGTGACAGAGTGAAAAAGGGGGTGACTAGTGACAGAGGGAGGGGTGACTAGGGACAGAGTGAGGGAGGTGGTGACTAGTGACAGTCACCACCTCCCTCTCTGTCACCAGTCATCCCCTCACTCTGTCCCTAGTCACCCCTTCCTTCCCTCACTCTGCCACTAGTTACCCCTTCCCTCACTCTGTCACCGCCTCACTCTGTCACTAGTCACCCCCTCACTCTGTCACTAGTCACCCCCTCACTCTAGTGACAGAGTGAGGGAGGGTGTGACTAGTGACAGAGAGAGGGAGGGGGTGACTAGTGACAGAGTGAGAGAGGGAAGGGATGACTAGTGACAGAGTGAGGGAGGTGGTGATTAGTGACAGAGGGAGGGATGGGGTGACTAGTGACAGTCACCACCTCCTTCACTCTGTCACTGTGTCACCCCCTCCCTCACTCTGTCACTGTGTCACCCCCTTCCTCACTCTGTCACTAGTCACCCCTTCCTTTCCCTCACTCTGTCACTAGTCACCCCCTCACTCTAGTGACAGAGTGAGGGAGGGTGTGACTAGTGACAGAGGGAGGAGTGACTAGGGACAAAGTGAGGGAGGTGGTGACTAGTGACAGTCACCACCTCCCTCACTCTGTCACTAGTCACCACCTCCCTCACTCTGTCACCAGTCATCCACTCACTCTGCCACTAGTCACCCCTTCCCTCACTCTGTCACCTGTCACCCCCTCACTCTAGTGACAGAGTGAGGGACGGTGTGACTAGTGACAGTCACCACCTCCTTTACTCTGTCACTAGTCACCCCCTCCCTCACTCTGTCATTGTGTCACCCCCTTCCTCACTCTGTCACTAGTCACCCACTCACTCCCTCACTCTGTCACTAGTCACCCCCTCTCTCACTCTGTCACTAGTCATCCCCTTCCTTACTGTCACTAGTCCCACCCTCCCTCACTCTGTCACTAGAGTGAGGGGGTGACTAGTGAGAGTGAGGGCGTGACAGGTGACAGAGGGAGGGGATGACTGGTGACCGAGTGAGGGAGGGGGTGACTAGTGACAGAGTAGGGGACGGAGGGGGTGACTAGTGACAGAAGGAGGGAGGGAGTAGTGACAGAGTGAGGGAGGTGGTGACTAGTGACAGTCACCACCTCCCTCACTCTGTCACTAGTCACCCCTTCCTTCCCTCACTCTGTCACCAGTCACCCCTTCCTTCCTTCACAGTGACAGAGTTAGGTCGGGAGTGACTAGTTACAGAGAGAGGGTTGGGGTGACTAGTGACAGAGTGAGGAAGGGGGTGACTAGGGACAGAGGGGGTGATTAGTGACAGAGTGAGTGAGGGGGTGACTAGTGACAGAGTGAGGGAGGGGGTGACACAGTGACAGAGTTAGGGAGGGAGTGACTAGTGACAGAGAGAGGGATGGGGCAGGGCCGTCTTTAATATTGATTGGACCCTAGGCAAAACATTTGCTTGGGCCCCCTGGACCATGTACACCCTCCCCAGGCGTGCAAACACGTTATCACCCTTAATGCAGTGGCTACCTAAAGTAGAGAGGTGCAAAAATATTTTTTTTGGGCCTCCCTATTGCAAGGATGTTTAAAAGGTAGATCCCCATCTGTTGTGCAACTCCAGCAATGCCTTGACAGCTGGCGCTCTACCATTTATCCATATTTGCAGGTTTGTATTTAGCACTAAGCTGTTTTTGTGTGTTTCAATGTAAACAGGTTTTTGTATGGAATATGTTTGTATGTGGCATTGGCGTTTGAATGTAAGCATGTATTTATGTGTAGTGTTGGTTTTTGAATGCAGGGGTGTGTATACATATAATGCTGGTGTTTAACACAGACGTGTATTTGTATGTTGTGCTGAAGCTTGAATGCAGGGGTGTATTTGTGTGTAGTGTTAGCGTGTGAATGTTGAGATGTATGCACATATACACACACAAACACACGTAGATATGCACACAACCTGACACACAAATACACACCTTGACACACATACTAATAACATAACATACAGATACACTGAAACACACAAAGACAACGTACAGATACACACTGACACACATACAGACACACCGATACACATCCTGACATCCACAAATGTACAAACACTGACACACATGCAGTTACACAGACACACATATACACACCTGACACACTTGCAGATACACACACACATATATACACACTGACAAACACACAGATACAAAAAATGACAACATATAGATACACACACAGATATACAGACAAACTGACACACAAACATACACTGATAGACATACTTACACAGACACATAAACTGACAGACATACTGACACATAGACAGAGAGATATATACTGAGACACACACAGACATACTGACACACTGACAGACATGCTGACACATTCACCAACACACACACCGACATACAGACACAAAGAGTCAAACTGATACAGACATGCACACACCGACATACAGACATGCACACACTGACATATATATTGACACACAGAGACACATACACTAACAGACATGCTGACACACACACACATATACTGACAGACATATTGACACACATTCACAGACACACACACAGGCATACTGACACACACACGCACTGACAGGCATACTGACAGACATACTGACACATACACTGACAGACATATTGACACACACACTGACAGACATACTGACACATACACTGACAGACATGCAAAATTTACACTATTAAACCCACCCTTTCTACGTTGGAGGGTGACTTTCCTACCAGTGGCTGAAGCTGCTGGGAGTTGGGGTCTGGCTAGTTCGGCCCAGACCCCCACCGCACTGCCTCTTCCTCCTCCCGCGCGCTCCTCTCTCTATGGGAGGAAGTGATGTGCAGCCGTCACTTCCTCCTAGCCGGCTGCCGAAAAGCAAGAGGGCCTGGTCGCGCTCTAAAAGCGCCAGAGCGCAAGACCGGGCCCCTGCTGACAGAAGCCCACCGGGTGCGTGGCTGCACCCGCAGTTGGGAAAAATGCTTGAGGTCAGCAGGGCCCACGGTGCAGCTGCTTCGGGCCCCCAAGAGTAACTGGGCCCGGGGCAGCTGCCCCGTTTGCCCCGCGGTAAAGACGGCCCTGGGATAGGGTGACTAGTGACAGTCACCCCCTCCCTCCCTCCCTCGGTCACTAGTCACTCCCTCCCTCTGTCACTAGTCATTCCCTCCCTCTGTCACCAGTCATCCCCTCACTCTGTCACCAGTCATCCCCTCACTCTGTCACTAGTCACCTCTTCCCTCCCTCACTTTGCCACTAGTCATCTCTTCCCTCCCTCCCCCACTCTGCCACTAGTCACCCATTCCCTAACTCTGTCACTAGTCACCCCCTCTCCCTCCCTCTGTCACTAGTCACCCACTCCCTCACTCTGTCTCCCCCTCACTCTGCCACCACTCAACCCCTCCTTCCCTCACTCTGCCACCAGGTACCCCCTCACTATGCCACCTGTCACAACCTCCCACACTCTTCCACCTGTCACCTTCTCCCTCATACACTCTGTCACCTGTCACATATGCATTCACACAGACACTATATACAAAAAAGCACATGTAGTCATCCAGACATGCACAAGTGCATTCACACAGACTCAAATACAAACATGCATTGATACACAGGTCTTCACAATATACACACATCCAAAGGAATGTCGTATTATGAGTTATATTTAACATTTATTTAATGCACATATATTTGGCCTTCAAAGGGCCTGGGATCTAATTTTGCCCGGGGGCCCCAAAGGCTCTCAGTCCGCCCCTGTATCCTTCATGTTATATATGCCTAACTACATGCTCTTACTCCATGTCCAGTTAATCATCTCCCATAACACTGGCATTCATGATATATATGTATAGCCTGTTCCATAGTTACTCTCCTTCCCATTATTTTAGTCTAGCTCAGTCCCAAACCTACAATTCTAATATGTTTTAGCTTGTCACATAGCTATGTCTATGCAGTATCGACTAGACAGTTCAGCATGTTATTTTATATTAAAATTAGACAGTTAATCCAGGAGTCAATGTGAAAACTATGCTGTTGACACTTTTACATATGCTTTTACTATTTTTCTCTTCTTTAACACACCTCACTAATGTCTAAATAAAAGAAAGATAAAAAAACAACACATTATACAATTGTCTTCAGATTATAAATGTCCTACTAAAATGGGGCCAGCTCATTCGACTTCGCTGCTTCTTCCAACCAGTTTTCCCCATCACTCTGACCTTTACCTGTCTTGAGTTTCATTTAATGTCTACTCTGATTCTGCCCAAGTGTGTAAATTGCCCCTTCAACTAACAATCTACAATTAGGAATACAAACACATCTTATTTAGATTATTGGACACTCTCTAAACTAAATGAAAAAATAAAAAAATTACCTGTTCTCAACCAATCCAGTGCTTCTCCCTGGATATCTGCATCTCCATATAGAGATGCACATGGGCGTCCGTGGGGGGGGGGGTACTCTGCTTAGAGTACCACTGAAATACTAATTGATGACTTTTCCAAGTGTTTGTATAGTTAACCTCCCCTGAGAACTCGGAGAAAAAAATTCCTTATAGTGGAAAAATGTTAACTTAATTTTTATGGGTTGTAGAGTTTGAAGGGATAGTGGGTTGTGGTCGATTATTAGCCACCAGTAATTGATATTAAATGAGGTGGTGTCTCGGATACAATGCTGTATCCCAGCATAGTGTGTACATGTTACAACACAAAAACCCATTGACCTAAAGCCTGTTATTATTATATCGCTCAACTGGATGGTAATTAAGGAGCAGAAACGCAATAGCAAATGGACACTTTTACCTTTTCAAGAGTTCATAAATTAAGACATATTATTCCATAGAAGAAAATAAAACAGTAAACGGGAAGTTTGATTAATAAAACACTCCAAGGAACATAACCCAAAAAGCGTGATGTAGAGGCTATGCTGCAAAGAGTGAATTGGTGCCCTCCTAGGTTATGCAGCTGAACTGCTTGGCAACTTACCTAAAGTAAACTGGGCACCAGCAGGACAGGGCTTAGCTTAGGGGAGCTAGTGAAAGCTCTGTTTAGGAGCTTCTGACTTTCCTGGAGTGGTGTCCCATGAGCCTCATGTAACTTGTCAAACCATTTGCAAATGGTTATGGTGCTTGTAGAGTTCCTTTAAAATAAAATTGCGATCACTTAAAGCCAGGGGTAGGCAACTATTGGCACTCTAGATGTTGTGAACATCTCCCATGATGCTTTGCCAGCATTATGGCTGTAAGAGCATGATAGGGGATGTATTCCACATCTGGAGGTGTCCAACCTCTGGACCAGGCTTCCCCAAAATCTGGTCCTCCAGATGTTGCTGAACTACAACTCCCATGATTCTCAGCCTATTTCATTCATAGAATCATGGGAGTTGTAGTTCAGCAACATCTGGAGGGCCAGAGTTTGGGGAAGCCTGCTCTAGACAATGCATAGTGTCTGAAATATTATGTTTACATCCATTTATGGTACAACAGTGGGGAATACATTTAAAAGGGACACTTCAGACACTTAAAGCTCTTCAAAGGTCCTCCTTTTATTTTTTTCTTTCATATTTGTGTTTTATTGTTTTCATATAAAGGGGGGGATACAGAAAAAAGAAAGGGGAGGAGGAGGAGAGGGGTAATAAACACTACATTCATATAGTATTACAGGTAAGATATAAACGAGATACATCTTTTGTAGACGTGCATTTCGTTTCATTCCGAATGTACATTCGGACAAATTTCATGCAATTCGGACATTCGGATGCTTATGAATGTCCGAAGTGCTGCAGTTCGGTAGTTCGGAAGTGCCGAACCGAATG